GAAAAAAAAAAAAAAAAAAAAGATCGCCGCCACTGGCTCTAACCACGGTACCAACTTGGTTTCTTTGCCCATCCAATTGGCGCCTTGGTGCAGCACATGACTAGTTCTACTCGATGGGGAGAGCGCCTAATAGAGGCGTGGATCACACAATAGATAACCACAAACTCTTCTTTTGTTGTAAAAGGTAGGCAAAAGATGCTGCTGCCTTCTTGGCGAAACGCCCGTGACTGCATTGCGGGCGGCGACTGGAAGTTGTTCGTGGGGTGGGCACCATGTGCAGAGGCAAAAGGGTATACGACACCGCTCAGTGGACAGAGCGGTGCAAGTCGGCGTGTGGGCGTGCCGCCTATCACATCCATCATCACCTTGTGCTCGCACTTCATAAGGTGGCATTCATAAATATCGCGCTGCATAGAGCGTGCATGGAGGAGGAATGAGGATGGGCATTGCAGCATGCCGGAAGTGGGATGACCTACCATTGGCGACGACACGACGTATGTAGCGGACACTGTTCCTGGGCAATCATATGCAGCTAGCAGCAAATATGTACGACGGTACATAGGACTTTCACAAAGTACGTATACTACAGTACGTAAGATATGTAGGTCCCGGTACGGAATACGCAGCAGACTGGAGGAGCGATTGACAGGGACGTTTTCCTTCGCTCGTGTTCTTCATGTTCTTCTTCTGGATACGCCAATTGCGTCGTATGTGGGCGTGGATTATGCAAGCCGGTCCGTGGCCCTGCCTGCAGCTTTTTGTCGCCCAGTCTTTTTTGTCACCCACCACCGACTTCGCTTTTGCATGGCATGACCGTGGTGCATATTCGCAACGTCTTTGAAATGCGTACACACCACACACAGTGTGATGAAATACCAACGGGGTGCTGGCTGGTGCGTAGGTATCAATGTTTGTGTGTGCCATGCCTATTGAACATAAGTCATGAATGACAAGCAACGAGACTAGTGAGAGAGGTACGTACCTCTACACCAACCGACACGACCACAGAACCACCCGACCTGGAACTGACGTTTGAATGATAGGTACGTACCTAGGTACAGATGGCTCATAAAGTGCTCCATTTGTTCCATTGCTGTCCAGGGTTGGAAGTACTTGACAGAGGGTACATGGCCTGGTATCTGAAGAGGGTCAGGTCATGGTCGTCCCGCCAGGTAAGTTGTACTGTAATATGCTAGCGGGTTGTGTACGTACCTCTGCGACCCATCGAAATGCCCATCCCAACCCATACGACAAGACACAAGATACCCATACCTGCTACTATGTACTGGTCGTCGCGCAATGAACGAATGGGGAGGGGGGGGGGGACACCATGGGAAATGGGTGATGGGGAGTCTAGTCGTGGCCCAGGTCCGCGTCTGGTCCAAAGATAGCACCGCGTACATTACACCATTCAGGTACTATGGCAATGGATGTACCTGACCTACGCACCACCCACCAGCCAGGGCCCTGTCTATCCAGTACATAGTGACCATCTAGTGCTGCGCCGCTTCGCACCCACCCAGCGGCCACTCATCTGAAGTTTCCAAAAGACAAGCTGGCAGGGATCTAGTAGTGCTACCCGCTTTTTTCTTCCTCGACCGGGCTATGCCCTTGAGCGACTGGGAGTGAGACAGCTAGGCATGGATGGCACCCACATGCTGGATCCCCATTCCAACTAGGTTACCGGCCATCTGTGCCTATCGATGGCCTTGACCGTCGTTGATCGACTTGGGGACTGATACTTTACCCTTCAAGGTCCCTTCAAGCACTCCAGACGCTCGTTCTCCCACCCAGCCCGTGATCGACAAAGTGGTCCTCTTTGGAATGGTTCTCTCTTTCTTTATGAACTGCCGGTTCTTGTTTATCTTCTAAACTTCTTTTCGGGAACACCTCGAGTCCACATCTCGACGATACCCATCCACTCATTCTTGTATACAAGTTGCTGCGTTCCCGCTCCCTTCAAAGGACTCAAGACCAGACTATTATATCTTCCTCCTTCCCACTCACTTACAAAGGACGGACACAACCACAACCTGTATAACATATAACAACAACATCATCGCCATTGCTATTGCAGACGATATACCACTTCAACAACTAGACATTCTTGTATTGCCAACTCAAGCTTGTCATACACTCTTTCCATCACGGAACCCAAACAACCACCACCTTCTTTCAACCATCGAACTGTATAATACTATATATTACATTACTTAATATCATATATACAACTGGACGAGAAGGAACACACGAGTGTAAGACGGAAACAAACAAAACACACACACCACTAGCCAACTCAACATATTCAGGTAAGCCGCGCCAAACTATTATATACATCTCATTTGTGCCTCTTTCTGACTTTTGGTCCCTCACTATAGAAAATGGATCCCAACATGATGGCATCGCAGGTCATGATACCAGCACCTTTCTACTACTACAACCCAGACCCCAACGTAGAGGCTCGCCAACACGGCCACTTCAGCCAACAACCCAGCCTTCAGCAGATGCCAATGTACCCGGTGGTACCTACATTGCCTTCTACTCCCATCTACTCCAGACCCAGCTCATCATGCTCGCAACCCGCCATGCAACAACAACCAAAGATGCTCAGCGCCATTCCCGCCAACCTGACACCAATGGCCTCGCCTCAGATGGGCCACCAGAGACCGACAATTATGCTGCAGAACTGTGCGGCCAAGCTGATGTTGGAGACGGACATGTACGACAGCGACTTCTACCCAGCAACTCCGGCCCTATCGACAACTGGTAGCAACATTGGTAGCCCTGGCAGCAGCAATGACATGCTTGCTACTCCCCTCAACCCCATGTTCTCTGGTCTGGACGGTTACGAGAACGTCAAGCCCGATGTGGAGTCTCTGCCAGAAAGCCTCGATGTTTTGGACTGGTCGAGCTGCACATCGCCACCCATGACACCTGGTAAGTAATACACATTTTTTTTTCTGAAAAAAAGTTGTCAAATCTTGCCAAACACGAGGTGCGCGGAATCTCGAGAGCTTTGGCACTGGATTCGGCCCTCAAGGTGGTGGTGGTTTGTCCCATCTGGCTATGGGCACGAACCAGGGCATTGGCGGGGCATTGGGATTTTTAAAATTGGCACAAGCCATCATAGTCTGTTACCGGAAATGGGGCCTAACTTTTCTTGATAGTCTACCTCTCTCAGTCTCAGGCCGGACCCAGCTCAGTCACTTCCGAGTGCATCAACCCTCGCGATATCCTTAGCGTCAGCAGTGCATCGACTACCGAGTTCACCTCTTCGCCCGCCTCGCTTGACGACTTCAAGGGTACCGCCCAGCCCATTGCGCTAAGCACCTTTGAGTTCCACCCTGAGCTTCACCACGGCCTTCCTTCTTTTGATGAGCTCTCGGATCTTGAGTCGGAGGAGGACTTCTTGAACGGCATTGTCAACCTCCAGGAGAAGCCTGCCAACGACCTGAAGCGCCCACGCTCGGCAACAACCTCCACCACCCTCTCTTCCTTCCTCGGTGAGGTGGAGATCGACTACGAGGACAACGCTACCGCCACCACTCTGGAGAGCTCAGCGGAGGCGTCTCCCCGCCCCGCCAAGAAGGTCAAGTCCCAGAAGGACAGCAACGAACCTATCATGAACGTTGCTGCCGAGTCCAACGATGCCGACAGCGTCCAGCAGGAGCAGCAGTCGGCACAGGAGCAGCAGACCTCCAATGCCCAATCCACTGAGAGCATCTCAACCTCCTCCTCAGACAACGCCGGAACGCCCTCCCTCCCGGCCCCTGCCAACCGTCGTGGTCGCAAGCAGTCTCTTACTGAGGATCCCACAAAGACTTTTGTTTGCGAGCTGTGCACGCGTCGCTTCCGTCGCCAGGAGCACCTGAAGAGACACTACCGCTCGCTCCACACCCATGATAAGCCCTTTGAGTGCAACGACTGCGGCAAGAAGTTCTCTCGCAGCGACAACCTGGCACAGCACGCACGCACCCACGGCGCTGGTGCCATTGTCATGAACCTCATTGACAGCTCCGAATCGGGATACGACATGATGGCAGCAACGCAGCAGTCGCATCCCCAAAACGAGCACGACTACCAAAGCTTTGGCAAGGTGCTCTTCCAAGTGGCAAGCGAGGTGCCCGGCAGCAGCGGTAGCGAATATTCCTCTGACGAGTCCGGCGACATCAGTGGCAAGAAGCGCAAGCGGTCTTAGATGATGCTTTTTCTTCTCTCATTCAGTCTAAACGCGGAGAATTAGCGATCTCTGCCGCTCATGCCCCGATACGACACTGACGATTACTTCTCAAAACTTTCGGTCACATCTGCTATCTTTGACGCAGAGGGCCACTTAGGGTCATCTAGAGGATTGAAAAAACAAAAGTTGACCTGCTTTCAAGCAAATGAACTTGTCTTCTTGTATCATACATTCAGCCAAGACTTTGCACACTCACGAAACAAAAGGGCATTAGGGTGGCTTCGGCAACATTATCAAAGGGAATACTGGGATACACAGGGAGTGAGGCGTCGAAATTCTTTTTTTGGGGGGGAGGCTTCACTGTATACACACATACACTGCGCATTAGCCGACAAGTGAAATCATGTTTTTTTTACTACTATATTTTGGACCACTATCATGTATCATGTATCATGTATCTTTTTGGCGGCTCACTTTTTTCTTTACGCTCGTTGTAATGCCTACAGTAGACGGAGCTGGTCAGCCGTATTGTTTGCTATAGGATAGTGTCAGCGGAGAACAGGAACATGCCGAGGGTGTCTGCCTTTTTCATCACTTTTTCGTTCTTCGTTTTCACGGATTCTGCTGTTTGGTTCATGGGAGAGGCTCAAGCATCTGTGCTGGTCACTTATCGCGGGGGTTTTACAATTACCTACCTGTATACATAGGACAAATGCAAATCAAGATTCGCCGCCAAATTCATTCACTTTCCACGGTTGAATAAAGGTTATATTTAGTATGCAAGCCCAATGGATAGGTCTATGTCAAACAATATATTTGTTGCTGTTACCACCGTCGTTCATGTCTTCACTCAATTTTCGTCAATGATCATAGTGAGAGTCCATTTCTTTGTGCACAGCGCCATGTCGCACGGATGGATTTGCATAAGCATTCCCAAAGGAAGGATAATTCCAAGGGATTTCTCGAGGATTCTAAAAGGACCCCTAATCTGCCAAACTTTCAAACTTTCCGTTGACATGCGTTAGAGACCCTGATTTTCGCGGGATATTCCTCATCCTGCAAGACCCTTCGATCTGCTCGATCAGATCAGATCTACATAGAACATTTAGTGGAATACGCCCAGCTGGAGGGGACCATCACGAGTCGCACTACTGATGGCGTGGCTGTCGCTTGAGTGGATTTTCTTCCTTGTGTTTTCTTGATTTGGTTCAAAAGAGGTTATCCATCTTGGAAGCCACGGACTCATTTCCGGTTCGCCGAGCAATATGCATAGTACTATTCTTTATCCTACACAGTAAGATCTTCAAACTCTATCTGTTTTTGTCATTCATTAGTGGCTTTTAGATTGCCAAGGCACCGCTGTCGAGCCGTCTGAAGATTTTGGGACTATGCGGGAGACGATGTCTAGGGGACTGGTTCCGGCTGAGCAGACTAAACCCAAGGGATCGATGCAGTACGTGGTACGTGGGTGGTGGTTAGATTGACTGCGAGTAGTGTAGTAGTTAGTAGTGGGATATCCACCAATTTTTTTTTTTAGCCCAACCCAAGAGCGTTCACTTCATGTCCACACAATGAGGCCCGGCACCGAAAAACCAAGGCGCAAAACTTGCTTGTACACGAATCAAAATACCAAAAACGCCCCGACACCAAACTAGCTGACGGCTGACGGGTGCACGACCTCCGAAAACTACTCGTCGATCCGGGTCTAGAGGAAAAGCTCGACCTCTCTGGGATACAAGAGAGTGAGAGCCAAGCTGCCAGAGCTGAAAGAAAGCGATGACTCGCCACTGACTGATTTCCCACACCCCCCAGTCCCGTCCCGTTCCCTCCCATACCCAAATTCGAGACCAAAGCAAGCATGGCGACCCAAGGAGGGCTGAACGTCGTCGCGCTGGTCTCCGGCGGCAAGGATAGCTTCTTCTCCCTCCTCCACTGTCAGGCCAATGGGCACCGTGTCGTGGCTCTAGCCAACCTGTATCCTCCGGAGACGACACAAGCCAGCAGCACCGCATCAACATCCTCCGCGACATCCCGGCAGCACAGCTCACCTGCGGGCCATGAAGATCATGACCATGGCCCTGCTAGCGGGCCTGTCGACGAGATCGACTCGGAAGCCGATCTAAATAGCTTCATGTACCAGACCGTCGGACACCAGGCGATCCCACTTTATGCTACGGCCACCGGACTACCTCTGTTCCGTCAGCCTATTGCTGGCACTATGGTCCAATCTGGCATCAGCTACTCCAGCCCTCAGCAGCCTTCCTCATCATCCACAGCGCCGACCAGGGCGGCAGCAGCAGGGGCGGCCCCGACTGACTCGAGTTCTGGCTCTGTGCCTGGCGGCGGGACTAATCCCCATGGTCACGGTTCTGACTTGGAGGACGAAACCGAGTCGCTGGTTCCATTGTTGCGAGCCGTCATCGCAGCTCATCCTGAGGTCAATGCTGTTTGCACCGGCGCCATCCTCTCCACTTACCAGAGAACTCGCATTGAGTCTGTCGCGCTGCGCTTGGGTCTCGTCCCGCTGGCCTACCTCTGGCAGTATCCCGCTCTGCCCATTCCGGCTCCTACCAGTCCCGCTTCAGCCTCTGCCGATCTACTGAGCACGGTAGTAGCACGTGGACATACTGGAAGCGATGACGACGCTCAGCTTCTTCGGGACATGGCAAGCGCAGGACTCGAGGCCCGTATCGTCAAGGTGGCCAGCGCCGGGCTAGATGAGGACTTCCTCTGGAGCAATGTCGCTAGTGACGATAGCATCAAGCGCATTAAGCGGGCTCTCAGGCGGTTTGGAGGGGGCGGTCGCGGATCCGTGCTTGGTGAGGGCGGCGAGTTCGAGACCATTGTAGTCAACGGGCCGCCGGCGCTTTTCAAAAGCAAGATCGAGATCTCTGATGTTGACCGGAGGGTCGTGCGTGAGGGCGGGGGCAGCACATGGCTCAGTATACGCAATGCTCATGTCCAAGAGAAGACAGACTCTACTGAAACCGGAGGCTTACCTAATGTCCGCATACCGGATCAACTCGACCCACGGTTTCAGCATATCTTGGACACCTTCACGACGGACAGTCTTCCCTTGCATGAGGACAGGAGTGAGGCCATACAACGAATGCCAGGCATTAGTCTCACAAATTCACTTGCGACTTTGCAGCATGAATTCATCGGCATCGGTGACAATATCTATGTCGAGCAGCAGACGATAAAGTTGGTGGATGATATTCGGGATCAGGTTGATCCACGGCTAATCCTCAACACCGTCATCGTTTTGAGACAAATGTCTGACTTTCCAACAATCAACAAGATCTATGGAGGTCTATTTCCGGAGCCGAATCCTCCATCAAGAGTAACGATTTCATGTGGTAGTCTACTACCGGAAGGGTCAAAGATAGCCATATTTGCTACGTCTCAGCCGGGACCCGCTCCGTCAGTCAGGCGTGGACTTCATGTACAATCCCGTTCGTACTGGGCACCGGCAAATATCGGGCCATATAGTCAAGCCATCGTCTTTCCACAAGGCGCACCGCGGGGAGATTCCGCTGTCAGTGACGGGACCGGTGGACCTCAAGTCGTCACTATTGCCGGGCAAATTCCTCTGATACCGGCGTCTATGGACCTTCCGCAGTCGCATGATTCAGTGCCTTTCCAGATCACTCTAGCGTTACAACATCTCTGGCGCGTCGGCGTCGAGTTACAGTCGCAGTGGTGGACGAGTGCCGTTGCTTACTTTCCCAGGACGCCAGCAAGCGAAGACATGAAGCTGAAAGCCACCTTGGCGGCACGAGCATGGAACTCTGCCCACACATGGTCGATTGGAGGCTCTGATGATGAAGAAGAAGACGAGAGTGGCCCTGATCTATGGGACCGGAGGTTCAACCCTGAGTACATGTCGCTGGTCGGCGCCGATGACACTGAAGCTACTCCTACGCTTCCCAAGTGGGAGACTCTCAACTGTTATGACGAAGATGACGATGCTGCTGCCAGAGCTCAGAGGCCAGTGCCCTACATGTTTGCTGTTGAAGTTGACGAGTTGCCTCGCTCCGCTGGAGTGGAATGGCATGCACACCGAGGTCTAGTGAATGTGAGTCCAGGATCGGTGCACGTTGTCAACTCTACACTGGCCGTTGAAGGCTCGAGTGCGCGTGTCGAACTTCAACATGTGGTTGCCAATTCTGCCAAAGAGATCTATGTCCACACTGTCGCAGCGATGTCTCATGACCCTGCACAATCAACAGTTGGGCTTGAAGGCATGATTGAAGTTGTCAATGGACTGGTAAATACATCTATCAAGGCCGCGCTGGAGAGTTTCTCCGAGCTGCAGTTCGACTTGATGCCTTACCTGGTCTACGTAGATGCGCAGCGGAATCCAGACTTGGAAAAGGCATCACACAATAAGGGCTGTCAAGCAATTGTACCATGTTTCTCAGTTTGGGACTCACGGGGCCAAGGCTTGGACGTAGCAATGGTCTATCAGGCACATTTCACAAAGAGCCGCTAGGTGAAACGGGGCATATCTCAGTAGCCGCTGATCGCCCTACATCTCACCATTATTGGATGATCAAGTTGGTGTTAACTACCGGCTCTAGCGGAGGGCTCCAGCTCGACTATCAAGGCTATACAATCAAAGGTTATATTGGTCATCACCAGCATTGGGGATATGTGGATCGCCATGTTAAAGGCTACTCTTCTGAAGTTCATCTTTAGAGTCAGACCACAGAGAGTTCATGGGATATAAATCAATCTCAATGGACTAAACAGGTAATGGAGGGGTTTGGACTGTCGCCGATGTCGTTTTATTGCTGGTGCCCAGCAAGGTAAGCAGTACGTAAGACAACTTTTTGACGAAGCTCTGTCTACACATTTCATGACCGGGGCAAGGAGTCTTCTCTTGATAGCACATAGGAGTCGTGGTCCACAGGGATGGCCAACATTTTTCGGAGGGGCTCACTATGGTAATTGATCAACAGCCACGAAAAACACATAATGAAGAACAAACATCTATGTTTGGTTTTACGCTGCGTGATGGAATATTTTAATCGATCGCCATTCCAAAAAGTTCAAGCAGAAGCGATCATCGGGATTTCTATCCCAAGTTGTTCAAGCCCATCTTCCCCCCGCAATTCCACGATTTGCTCCACTAAAACGGATGCTAGTCGAGGCCTCCCCGCCGTTTCAAAGGAAAAGACGGGCAAAGGTTCACGGAGCAATAGAATAACTGTGTTATTTAGTCATCTATTAATATAGTCGTATATTACACTATATATATTTCTTGTAAGCATTATGTTTGCGATGAGTTTCCATATAATATATCTGCGTTGGCGCGAATGATGCAAACTCAGATGCATACCTATCTACTTGACGTGAGTAAAACCAGGGTGGTGTTTGCGGCTCTGGCATGTGGGCTGGGTAGGCAGGTAATGTGGACTAAATGTACCGAAGCCACTAAAAGCCGCTGAGCCGATTGGGGGGAGTCTTTGGCCCCCAGAGATTGAAAGCTGTCCCACTTGTACACCTGTAAAGAGATGCACTCTCAACTTCGCTTATGCTGCAAAAAGCCTGGAAGCAACAGGGACTTGTTATCAACCGCGGCCTGAGATTGCAGGAATCTCGGCCCAAAAGACTGCATTACAATCCACAAATTACTTACATTTCTCAGACCTTCACCTACCTACCGCTTTGTACATACCAAGGCCCGGTCTCCGGCGCCGAGCCGCACGTTCCCTGGTCCATCTATGGCGTGATCGCAAGCTCCGATCCAGCCATTCTCTGCCAAACATTGCTCAAGTAGACGTCTTAATAACCTTTGGGGCGGAGCCTCTCTTGCCTGCCACCATGTCCGACCAGCGGCCATCTAATACTACTTCTACTTCTTCCTCCTTTTTGGGTTTGAGGAGAACCTCTTCCTCTACCCAGCAGAGGCAAGGTTCAAGATCATCGCCGACACTTGCGCCGCCCAGGCGGCAGTCGACCCAAGAGAGGATCGAGACCATTCTCGAGGTGTGTGGCAGCGGAGTTTTCCTTTCCATTTTTCAATGACTTTTATCTATCAAGATAAATGACTTCTTCCTGGGGGTTAAACATCTACGTGTCGCGCAATTCAAGAGCAGCGTGCTCATTAGCTATCTGAAGAGAGGGCGGAAACCACAAAATTGACATCATCATCCCGTCGCTGGTGTGAGATTCGGACCTCGGCTAACCAAGAAAAATCTTTTCCCGTCTCAAACAGAACGGCAGAGAGCGCGCTACATCCATGGGTAACGCGACCTGGTCGTCGGGGCGCAGCCCAAACTTTAGACCGCTTCCGCAGTCTCCCGAGGCCGACGATGGCCCGGACGAGCAGACGGGCATGTTCATGAAGGGGAACCCAAGAGACTACCAGGCCACCCAGATCGGCTCTCACAATGCCGTGTCGCACCGGTCGGCGGGCGGGCGGGCGTCCTCTGATTCCTCCCGGCAGACACCCGCCAATGCTGCCGCTGCGGCAAATGGCAATGGAGCTCACCGTCACGATGAAAGCGCTCATGCGAGTGAGAAGCAGGGATGGGGGGATTACTTCTCTGGACTTTGGTCAATCGAGTTGGAAAACAAGGGAAGCGTTGCCCGAGACCATCTCGCATTGGGTGAGTCTTTTGCCTCTGATTCCTAATCGTCACGTTATAATGGCTCATATTCTCCCGATACAGAAAGGACATTTCTTGCGTGGCTTAGGACCTCATTGGCCTTTGCATCGATAGGCATAGCCGTCACTCAACTGTTCCGCCTCAACACGTCCCTGTCCAACGCTCCAGACGACGGATCGTTTCACACGATCCGACAGCTGGGAAAGCCACTCGGCGCCGCGTTTCTCGCCATTTCCATCCTAGTCTTGTTCTTGGGGTATCAAAGATATGTGCAGAGTCAGCAGTGGGTCATGAAAGGCAAGTTCCCAGCTTCTAGAGGAACGATTGTGATTGTCTCACTTATTGCCCTTGCATTGATGGTTGTGTCGTTGATAGTGGTGGTCGTCATCCAACCAGCAAATGCAGACTGAAGCAGATGCAAGTGGGAGGAGGGGAAAAGACTTAAAAAGCATGAAAGGAATTTAAGCCAATACTTTGCATTAATAATTACAAAGAATCGATTTAAAATCTCGTGTTTTTTGGGTTGGGATATTGAGCGAGGAGTGAGCAGTTGAGGGGACGCAATTACTCAGCCAGTGACGTCGTGTCAAATGAGCCTTGCAATACATAGCCCTATGTGCAATTAATTGGTAGGTACATTACCTACATTAGCTTAAGCAATACAGACCCAATTACAACCCAGTAACTTTGTTCCATTTTTTCATAATTGACCACAAGGTTCTGGAGGTCTGTCTCATTAATTAAAAACCCGCGTACTACATTCTCTCTGTTCCTCGGATTTTTATCCCATTTCTGGCAATTTGGTGGATTAATAGTCCCGCCTCATCTTGGGGTGGTTGAGGGTCGTACCGAAAAGGCGCTACTACTGCACAGAACGTTGCATGTTGTCTCACAAAACGACAACGACGGCGATAATGGCACCCAAAGAACCCGTGGGTGTAGGCGCGTTTGCACAGACCCAGCTCGCTCTTCTCGATGCCGAGCTGCAGAGCGAAGTCCAAGAAACCAGTGGGCTCATCACCGGCCTGAGCCCGACGTCGCTGCAGCGCGCAGGTCTCGCCCTCACCAATCTGGTCGTGGGCGCGCAGCGCACGGGGCTGGGCGGCAAGACGGTGCTGGAGCTGGAGCCCGACAGCGCGACCAATGCCAGCGGCGAGCTGCCCGAGCACGGCGTCCGCGTTGGCGACATTGTCCTGGTCTCGGAGCAGCCGGCGGGCAGCGCCAAGAAGCGCGAGATTCGCGACCTGGAGAAAAAGGGCGCGCGCGGCGTCGTCACCAAGGTCAAGCGGGATGGCGTCTTCGTCGCGGCCGACGAGGAGCGGGAAGGGGACGCACAGCTGACCGGCCGCGTCTGGCTGGTCAAGTTGGCCGACGACGTTACCTACCGCCGCATGAACCAGACCATGGAGAGGCTTCTAAAAATGACCGAGTCCGACTATTCAATCTTCACGAGGGTTCTGTTTGGCCTATCGACGCCCTCGCAAGTTCCCGCGGATCTCGGCGCGGACCCGGAGCTTGGAAAGATCGAGTGGATTGATCCAGGGCTGAACGAATCCCAGAAAGACGCTATTCGGTTTGCCTTGGCCTCCAAGGAGATCGCTTTAATTCACGGACCGCCAGGGGTGAGTAAAACGGGCTTTTATGAATGCTTGGTCAAGGTTGACTGAATGGATTCTAGACTGGCAAAACCCATACACTCATTGAGCTCATTTTGCAGCTCGTCAAAAGAGGCCTACGGATTCTGGTCTGCGGTCCCTCAAACATCTCAGTAGACAATATCGTGGAGCGCTTGTCGCCGCACAAGGTACCCATTCTTCGGCTTGGGCATCCGGCACGACTGTTGCCCTCGGTGCTGAATCATTCATTGGACGTGCTCACACGAACATCAGAGGCCGGGTTAATCGTCAAGGACGTGCGATCCGAAATGGACGCGAAGCAGGCGTCGATCAAGAAGACCAGAAATGGAAGGGAGCGCAAGGTAATCTACACGGAGCTGAAGGAGCTACGCAAAGAGTATCGTATCAGAGAAAGGCAATGCGTCGACAACCTCGTCTCGGGGAGCAAAGTAGTGCTCGCCACCTTGCACGGAGCCGGAGGCTTTCAACTAAAAAACAATAGCTTCGATGTTATCATCATTGACGAGGCTAGTCAAGCCCTGGAAGCTCAATGCTGGGTGCCTCTTTTGACGGCGAAGAAGGCTGTCTGCGCAGGCGACCATTTGCAACTGCCGCCGACAATCAAGTCAACCAACTCCAAGGCAAAGCCCAAGGTCAAGGAGGGCGACAACATCATCAAGGGCATGAGCCTCGAGACGACCCTCTTTGACAGGCTGCTTGCACTCCATGGACCATCTATAAAGCGAATGCTCACCACACAGTACCGTATGAACGAAAAGATTATGCGCTTTCCCTCGGATGAATTATACGAAGGAAAATTGATAGCAGCAGATGCCGTCAAGGACCGTCTGCTCAAGGATCTCACCTACAAAGTCGAGGACACGGAAGATACCAATGAGCCAGTCATATTCATTGATACCCAGGGAGGCGACTACCCCGAGAAGAATGAGGACGAAGATGGCGGTAAGAAGTCCAGTATTAGATCCCTTTTGGGAGACAGCAAGAGCAACGAAATGGAGGCCGCGCTTGTGAAGCAGCATGTTCGAAAGTTGGTCGATGCAGGCGTGAAGCCTGAAGATATCGCAATTGTCACACCTTACAATGCACAAGTGAGTAAAACCATAGAGATTCATGGTGCACACGGCATTTGGCCGTTGCAGAATATGAGCATTCACAGGAATACTAATATGCACTTGTCAGCTCGCTGTACTCGCGCATCTCAAAGATGCGTTCCCTGGTATAGAGCTCGGCAGCGTTGACGGGTTTCAAGGCCGGGAAAAGGAGGCAGTCATCCTCTCGCTGGTTCGAAGTAACTCGGACGGCGAGGTTGGATTCCTGGGCGAGAAGCGGCGTCTAAATGGTACGTTGACCGGGATGGTGTTCGCCCATTCCCCCCCATCCCAGCCGCCTACTCCTATGTGGCTGCATGAGGTTAATGCAGGTTCCAACAGTTGCGATGACCAGGCCGAAGCGTTCTTTAACGGTTATTGGTGACTCGGACACAGTCAAGAAGTGAGTTGTCGACTTTTATACCCTGCCCTACTACTACTTTACCCCCCAAGTTACACTGCACGACGCTCTGTGTGTATCTCTTTGTTTTCTATCTTTAGACCGCCAAGTGGCACACTCATGACCCCCAACTCGACAAACCACGACACTTTTCTGTTGCGAATTGTGTTTCTAACCATGGTGTATTTCTGCAGAGGTAGCAAATTTCTCAAGGACTGGGTAGAATGGCTAGAGGAGAATGCAGACTTGCGCTATCCTGATCTGGCAGCTCTCGATTGAACAGAAGGACAAATAGTAGTGCATTATCATCTAGTGACGCAACAACGGAGCATGACTCGGAGTATAGAAATGGAAGGCTTTCGCATGACGTTCTATATCGCTTCCGAGCCATCGATGAGTTCATCCAATACTTCCGCATTAACGATCTAAGGGCGCCGGCATTTATGCACCCACTCGGGGAATTTTTTATTTGGTCGTCAGCCCCCCTCCATCTTAATGCTCGGTATTATGGAATGTGACTGGCGCGTTATGCAAGCACTATAGCCCCGGGTGTCTGGTCGCTTAATCTAATTTCAATTAATTGAGAGTTTGTATCAGCCATTGAATATTGTTGATATTGGTGGCGAACGAACCCGTGAAAAGCACAAAGATTACACAGATCACACAGCATACTTGTATCGCACCAAGCAAGATATACATATCAACGTTGTACAGATGCTGAATTTACGAGATCTGCTCATTCTTGGGGCTTGGGGGTCCGTGTTTCAGGTGAGCCCACAGTGGGTGATCGATCCCTGGAGGGGGAGAAAGAGAAGGGCCCCCCCAGAAAAGCCCTATACCCTTCGCGGGAGACCTGGGGTCTTACTACGTATCCAGGTAGCAAAAGCCATGTGGCCAAGTTGCCTCGGCCGGGGGTTTCTCTTCTTAAAAATCGGTGACATTTCTCCAAGACCAAGAAGACATCAGTCGAAAGATAATAATATCCTCCGAGCAAAAGTTACGAGACTAGCACGAAACGCGTTTGTTTTTATTGACCTCGCCTCCCCCCCATGCAATGTACGATCATCAACCACAATTGTATCTCCGTGCCTGCTTCATGGCTGCATTAGTGCATAGAAGGGCGAGAATTCCCCATTGCAGCAGGTCACTTTGGGGGTTGTCGTGAGGGAAAAGCAAAGACGGAAAACGAGGTGGTGGTAAAAGGCTAATTGGCGCATCGGAGGCTGTCTGCTTTTCTTTCCTTCTGCTTGTGGTTCATAAACGGAATTTAATTCGTGTACCACTGTGACTTGTGACTGACTGTGACTGTGACGCGGCGCGCAAGGGGGGGGAACCAATGCGATAGATAGCAAGGCAGGCCATAATGCTGCAATGAATCGCCAGCGCCCGCGCCCACGCAATGCAAGCCAAAGTGGCTGTTTTGCAATGCAAGATTGGTTAAACGAACATGTAAGATATGTGAGCTATGCTACTCCAACGGTCGTCTGAGAACCAACCAATGGCCGCCCCAAGGATGTACAAAAGAGTATGCAGCATCCAGGCGCCTCGCTTCTTGTAGCCGCATTATCATTGCCTACGCTCTGCATTGCTCTCTTTCTCTCGCGCACGCATCGCACGCACCGTACGCCAACAAAGTATGTACTCATGATTGATAGCCTCGGAACGGCACCATTCATCAAGGGTGTCCTATCAAGGCGAATATGGACGCACACACACAATAGCCACTTGGCCACCCCATAGGTAGGTCTCGGAGCCTCCATGTCAACTAGCAACCACTAGTTCTAGCGAGAGATCATGTCATGCTCTAGCTGCCGCCGAGCCTATTGACTTTTTTTTTTCCCTCCCTCCCTTCATGCTTTAATGCTATAGGACAAGTCCGACGGCCCCAATGAAGCATCAGTGTGTGTGTGTGTGTGTGTGTGTGTGTGTGTGTGTGTAG